ACTTCTTTTTCCTTTGTGGCTTTTAATCCCCCAACAATACACAAAACTGATTTTAAATAGAAAGGAAAGCAACAAATAATTAATGGTGAAATATTTAGCTAATACAGCATCCAGAGGCTTACGGGCATTTTGTTCTACCTAGTAGGATCATAAACAAAAGCAACTTGATTCATGAGAAAAATCATTGATTTGAAGCCAATTCTGATCATCTGCTCATCTACTGTGTCCCATCGCAGTATGGAGGGGTGGAGAATGGGACACAATAGATCTTGTAATAAAGACAGAGATTGGGGATAGTAACTTCGCTGATTCCCCTAAAATGATGCCCAGACTAAAGGAAGAGGAGGAAAAGTTTCTTCCTGTTTCCCCTCTGCTGGTCTGGTTTACTGCATTGCGTCAAAAAGAGCTTGCAGGTTTATAAACAGGAAACAAGTGTTTCTAGTAGAACAACTAGGTGCCCTGGGGTCTGTTTGAGCTCCCCTGCACAGCAAATACAGATTGCCCTGTTCTTTTTTAACAGCACAGCAAAACTCCAGGCTTGAGCAATCCCTGCAGCCTGTTAATATTTGCAGTACAATTTCCTGTCTGTTTCACGTGCATTTCCTAAAGGGCTGGCTTAAACCTCTAGACCTTTCTTCCAACTAGCCTGCAGCATATTCAAAAGGGGTAAGCTTGGGGAGATAAATGGGATCTTCTACAAGAAAAGGGTAGCCAGAGGAAAACTTTGATTACAGGAGCCTCACCAGGCTTTTTTTATCTTGATTTGCAAATTGCAGGTGGAGTTGAGGTTCCAGGGTTAGCGCCTGGTGGGCCCCCACCGCTATATCTACCTTCATGACTGCAGGTACCGGCGATAGCAGCTCCCATTAGCTGCAGATCACCATTCCAAGCCAATGGGAGCTGCAGGAAGTGGTGTCCTGGTCCATGCCACTTCCTGCTGCTCCCATTGGCCGGGAACAGCGATCCGCAGCCAATGGGAGCTGCAATTGCCAGTCCCTGCAGCTATGCATGTCAATATAGCGACGGTAGCCCACCAGGGGCTAACCTTCTTGAACACTGCTCTATAATTGCCCACCCCATCCTAGAGGCAGTATTCCTTATAAGCTGAGCACTTAGGCAGCCCCCCAGGAGAGATTCAAATGTCTCCCCACTGATTAGCAGTGTGCCCACAGCCTTTCACAGCTGGCAGCAAGTGTTACTACTGGTGGTGCACATCTATACATGCCCGGGTGCACATAACAAAATTCATTCTACACATGGATGGAAAAAGATTAGAGGGAACACTGCCTAGAGGGCTCTATCTTGTGAAATGTTGAGGAGTTTGATGTCAGTGTGAGTTATAGGTGCTGAGGGTTCTGCTGAATCAAGCCGTCAGGTGGGAAGCAGGCCCACTAATTTATGCTTAAACATCCTGGGGCCCAATCCTGAAGTCTATGGGAGTTCTGCCTGTCGGATCAGACTGCCGTGCCTACGGATGTGGCAGCTACAGGCTTGTCTAAGAAAGGCATAGATGAAATTCCAAATATTCTATTTCATATTGACAACACATTGCTGCACTTAAATGCTGCTTTGGTGGCCAGAAAAATCACTTAGCAAAAGACCCAGGGAGGATCAGGTGGTTTGAAGTTCTCCTGCCTTCTAATCAAATACCAATCTGCATTGCTCGTGATTTCTGCACCCTTTTTACCATCATTGCCATGAACGGTTGTTCTGTGTTTCACTGGAAAGGGAGAGACACGTGTGTTTCAAATCGCTGGAATCTAATAGCGTACATTGATCGTTGTTAGCAGAATGGGCTGAGTTTGGAAAGAAACTGTCCCGTCCAAGAAAGATGTTGAAAAGGAAAAGCATTCAGAGTCGGCTAGGTTCACGAGCATTACCCGATGCCAGCAGAGTTAGAAAACCTAGCTTTGACAGTGCTGTTCCGACTCCCTGCCCGGCCCCTGTTGTCTTCTGGTCATCCAGTCTGGACTCTTTTATTGCACAAAAACAAGCAAAACAAGCTTGGAGAGGCCAGTACGGATGATATAAGAGAGGTGATCTGATAATACAGGCCAGAGAGCTTCCCCACAATTCCTACAGCAGCTCTTTTAGAAAAAAACTGTTTTTTTATTTTAAAATGGTGCAGAGAATCCAGCATGAGTCTTGAAACATTGTGCTGGCATTGAATTACTCTCAACCTTACAAATTATGCCTTATGTCTGTTACCCATATGTGTGGACAAGATTGTTTCCTGGATACCTTCTTGCTAAACTCCAGTATGGCTTGTCTACACGGAAACCACTACACAGAAACCACAAACTGGCACAGCAACAACGCTTCAGCACTTCTATGAAGACACCTACACCAATAGGAGGGGTCACCCCATTCCCACAGGTTAATCCAAGAGGAAGTAGTTAAGTCAACAGGAGAATTCTACGATATGTCTACACTACAGAGTTTTGTCCACACTGCAATTGAGCTCTTCTGAAAGTAAATAAAAAAAACAGAGGGTTTTTCCGACATTGGTAATCTTCTTTCTATGAGGAAGAAGCCTTTTTCTGAAAGAGCTCTTTCAGAAAAAGGCGTGTGTTGGCGGGGTAGAGGGAGGTCTTTTGAAAGAAGAAGAAAAAGCACAGGTGCCTTGGTGGCCATTCCGTCATAGTAATCACAGTTTAAATGCAAGATAGCATTCATTCAGTGTGGACGCTCTCTTTTGAAGAAGCAGATCACTTTTCCGATGAACTTATGTGTGTGGTGCTCTCTTTCAGAAGAAGAGTTTTTTTCGGAAGATCTCTTCCCAAAAAAAGGTTCTTCTGAAAGAAGCCTGCAGTCTAGACATAGCTCTTTTGACCTAGCAGTGTCTACGCTGGGTGGGTTCAATAGTGTAATTGGGTTGTGGATTTTTACACCCCCGAGCAATGTAATTATATCAACCTAATTTCCTGCAATAGACCAGACCCTAGTCTCTTTCTACTGGTTCATGGGAACTGGGGGGGAGGGGGAGGGGGGGAATCACTTTAAATGCTGTCACTACACAACTTACTCCTCAAAGATCTTGTCTCATCATCACACAGATAGATGCCATTGAAAAACAAATATGTAAACCCTGCACAGAATGAAATACACCCTTTATCTCTAGAATGGTTTAGAAGGCAGAGTGCGGGAAATAATCCACTATTTTAAAAATGCTCTCTGACTCCTTTCATTCCATCTCTCAGGAGTGCTATATATTACAACACTTGCATTGGGTTTCCTACTAGATCAATTTCAAATCCATTAAGTAAGCCTGTGCAAACCCTTGATGTAGATGCATTTAAACTGGAGTAATCTTTGCTTAAATTGATTTACCTTCACTTTGTAGTTTACCTAAGTGGGACGTAAATGTTGCATAAGACTTGTGCTGGCTTCTAGATAGGAGAAGAATCATCCTGTGTCCTGATACATTCAGTGCTGCCTCATTCGTACACTGAAAATAAATACGCTCAGAACAATTTATGTGATTCTTATCTTGTTTTGAGAGTTGCTGTTTTGTTTTGCTTCTGTCCTAGCCTTTCTGGTTGCTCTCATGTTTTTTGCCTTTTCTCTGTGATCGTGTTTCATGCAGTATTAGGCTGACCTTTGGAAGTTAAGAGGCATTGGCTGATTTGCCATAGAAACGGAGACTACTGGGGGGAAGGGACTAACTAGCTTAGGTAAAGCTTTATGGGAAAGCTGATCACATGTAGGTAGAAACATATTAGTTTTAAACAATAAAACACACACAAAAGAAAGTTCTTTTTCACACAGTGCGTAGTCAACCTGTGGAACTCCTTGCCAGAGGAGGCTGTGAAGGCTAGAACTATAACAGAGTTTAAAGAGAAGCTAGATAATTTCATGGAGGTTAGGTCCATAAAAGGCTATTAGCCAGGGGATAGAAATGGTGTCCCTGGCCTCTGTTTGTCAGAGGCTGGAGATGGATGGCACGAGACAAATCGCTTGATCATTGTCTTCAGTCCACCCTCTCTGGGGCACCTGGTGCTGGCCACTGTCATCAGACAGGCTACTGGGCTAGATGGACCATTGGTCTGACCCAGTACGGCCATTCTTATGTTGTCACACCCCTACCTGAGTTTCTCATACTGCAGTATAGCTTTGACCATTTTTATTACATACCCAATCCAAGGCCCACTGAAGTCACGTTCCATGTAAAGCATGAAGGATCTGAGTGAATTCCAGCTGACACCCTCGGAGAATTGTGTTTGTGTTCAAATATGCTAATGTATATTTATAAACATATATATGTATTCCCCTTTCTCTCTAATGCCAGTGTGGGTGTGTCTACACTGCTATGCAAATTGCGTAGCTTATTTTGAGGTAATTTCGAAATAGCTTATACAGCACCAAATTTTGAAATAAAGCACTATTCTGAAATGTCCCTTAGCCCTCATGGAGCAAGAGTTACAGGGACCCCAGAATAGCACGCCCATTATTTCAAAATCTATTGAAATAACAGGCTGCTTTAAAGATGCGGAATAGCTATTTCAGGATACTTCCGGTATCCTGAAATAAGCTCTGCAGTGTAGATGTAGCTATCCGTGCAATGCAGTTCCCAAGCTGCAATGCAAACATCTTTTCAGAAGTGTAGTGACTATGGCTTTAAATTATGCAACTAAGAGCCATACTCAGACAGCTGTGCCTGCATGGAATCACCATTACTTCAGTGGAGTTCTCTATGGTCCTATTATTCTGTCCATATGCTACATTTTGCAGCTTAGGGGAGGGACTTATACCTTCTCTGAGTTATTTCTTTCACTATTTAGACTGTTCAGATACAGATTATGTTCCAAGAACCACATGAAGAATTTGTGAATGAGAAGTGAATGTTTGCATCCCCAAAAGCACCAGCTGAAATGGAATAGTCGCCAATATTACATGTCCACCTATATAGGACTGGAGCATTAGGACTGGCTCTAAGCATGTATAGAATTTCATCAGTCATTTTCAAATGTATTTGGTAACATACGACACACACTATGAGAAAACTGTGTATGCAGTTCTTTATTGTCTAGCTTTATCGCACATACTTTACTGAAGCCTTCATTACTATAACCACTCAAGGTTTCCATAACTATTTTGAATTTAGTTTAAACATATTTTGTCTCCCGTGTGACTTAATATTTTTCATTTTAAGGTTCTGAATCATCCAAATTGAACATAACTCCCGAACCGATAAGTAAACACCATGCATACTCTGGAAGCAAGCCAATAGGCACTCTGCAAGCATACGGATACTGTGCATAGAGGAAAACAGAGAACTTGAAACCTAAATTGTCTCTGAATTAAATACATGGTGCGACATTTTTAGCTCAATAGATTTGAGGGTTGTTTTGTGACCTGATTGGGAAACCAACACGCAGTCTAAATCAATCTTTCTTCTTCTCCTCTTTTTTCTCTTCCTTTCCTGCTGCCTCTTCTTTCTTCTCCCCATCTTCAGCTTCCTCAGCAACCTCCTGGGATTCCTCTCCTTCTTCTGCTTCCTCCTCTTCTCCTCCTTCCTCCTCCTCACCCTCTTTGGCTTCCTCAGATTCCTCCTTGGCACCTTTAAAAATTGAGCAGCAATAAGCATTTCGCATCATGCATGTAGAGTTGCTGAGCTATGGTCACCTCTACTGATTTTAGTGTGAGCAAAAATTAACTTTGGTGCCATCATAAATGTATATGAATGTAGGATGTATTTATTTAGGCTAAGTCTTTCAAGAACTAAGGGAATTAGGCACCAAATCATATTGCATTTCAAAGGGTCTTGGGTACTTAGCTTCTCTAGGCTTCTTTGAAACCCCTGCATTAAACAATAACAACAACTGATTGGCAACTCTTTTTAAGCCCTAACCCAAAGCCCACTGAAGTCAAAAGGTATCCGTTCACTGACTTCAGTGAACTTTGGATGAACCCTTGAGTTCATTGTCTAGTGAATCACCATTAACTTACAGATGAACTTTTCTACTAAGTGGATCTTAGAAAACTATTTACATAAAAACAAATTTGCTTTCAGATGTGTGGCTGAAATCCTCCCTCAAGGATTAATCAGGATCATTAATATGCGCCTGTTGAATTCTTTTTCCTGCTGTTTAGCCAGTTAAGAGTTTACCATCTATAGCTTAGTATATTAGAGTATGCTGCCTGAGAATGGTTATAGCATCAAAAAGAGAATGAAGATTCTCAAGTTCAAGGACAGGATAAAAATATTGCAATAGGAACTAGGGAAGGATGCTCTAGAGAATAATTGGTTTGAAATGTTTCTTTAAAGATGTACACGTTTAGTAAAGCAATTAATGGACAAAAGTACTTTGGTGGAAGGAGGGCAGTGAAAATAACAGGCAAGAATCCCAGCTGGTGTCAATAGTAGTGATCTATGCCAGCTGCAGATCTGGTTCAAGATATTCTCTGGGAATTCATATTTAGTTCAAGATGTTCCTGTTGCTTTCAGGAATGTGTATAAATGTTAAATTAGGTATTTTTTGGCTAGAGAATTTGCCAATAGCACTTTCTATTATCATGATCCCGATGCTCTTCCTTTGAAAGCCAACTGCAAAACTCCCATTGACTGCCAAGGAAGCTGTATTGGCCCCATCATGTGTTGAACAGTCAATATTTATCTGAGCTCAGCCTTTACATTATACCTAGGTTTTCCCACACATGCATCACAGGGTCAGCCCAGCAACCCTTTACTTCTGTGACTAGCCCCCATTTAAGCCAATGGGTCTATGCGCTTGACTTAGGCATGTTTCTATTAACAAAGATTTGCAGATTGAGGCCTCACATAAGTAGAGGTGAATTCAAAAGAAATCAAAAGTACCTTCTTCCTCAGCTTCTTCTCCTCCCTCCTCTTCCTCAGCCTCCTGCTTCTCCTCCTCCTCCTCGCCTTCTGAAGGGGGTGCTTCTTTGGCCACTTCCATTTTTGCTGCCTCGATCGTCTCCTCTACTTCTATCTGTTCTTCCTGGACGTGACTGGAGTAGTAAGCAGGGAAGGAACGGGCTGACATCAAGTAGGAGCTGCTCTGTAAACCGCTGTAGGCAGACCTGCCAAAGACTGGGGCACTTTGAGTGTAGCCGCTAGTTATGCTTCCAACACCGGTGAAGCTAAGCCGTGTCTCTTCCCCTTCCAATAGTTTTCTAGGAGGAAAAAGAAACAATTAATTATTGCTTGTCCTCCAGTCCTGCTTAAAAGCCCTAATCATGGGTGGGTCAAGTGGCTGTACAAACACAGAACACAAAGATGGTCCCTGTCTGAAAGAAATTACCATCTTCCACACTTTTAGTCTACAATAGTCAACTGTCCAGTGGCAATTATACACTGGTGAGCATCACTGGAGGTAAAGATCTTTTTGAGAGGGTACGAAGGAAAAACAGCATTAAAATAACATCACCACAACTAGAATGGAAGATAATTGTGTCCTGTTACTCTGCAGGGCTACATAGAGAAGGAACATCCACCAAATTGACCTTCTTTTGTTCCTAGGAGTCCACATTTAATAAATATACCAAGCAGTTTTACACTACAAAAAAAATTCTCCTGCCTCAACAGTCAGCTGCAAATAGTCAATAATCTTAGCTTTCTGTTTGCAGTTTCCATCAATGCTGAGGGTCAAACAAAATAATGATAGAGCAGTAAGCTTTTTCGCAAACATTAGCGTTAGCCTTTTAAAAGTAATTTTTAGTGGGATCTGTGCACCTAACTCACTTAGGCACTTTTGATAATCCCAACATTTGTATTTATTGTTTTAAATAGGCTTTGATAGTTCTAACAAGCTTTTTTGTATTCAACAAATCTAAGCATACTACTAAATTCAGACTTCGTATTGAAGGAAATGTTTTGCCTTCAAATCATCTTCGGTTGGCTTTTTTTTTTCCTGTGAGAGTGATAAGGGGGTAGTTAATGAAAACACTGAAGAATAAAATAGAATTCTATAGGAAAGCTGCCACTACAGTGACAAGAGTGGAGAAAATGACCTAATAATTCTTCTCTCTCTCAGACACATAGTGGAGAAAATGACCTAATAATTCTTCTCTCTCTGACACATTAGTCTATCAATAACTAACCTAGTCAGCAGCTATAATTCTCACAAAAGATTTGTCTAAAAGGTTTAAAGATTGAGAGAGATATGAAAAATAAAACAGAATTTCTCCAGCTACAAGAGAAAATTTCTGATTCACTTAACACTTTTTCCATCATACCTGTATGCTGCAATTTCAATATCCAGAGCCATTTTCACATTGAGAAGGTCTTGATATTCTTTCAAATAACGGGCCATCTCACTCTTTGTGGTTCTCAGTTCATTTTCTAATTTATTAATTGTGTCCTGTTGGGAATGAGAATATTCAGCAACATAAAATTCTTAGTTCCCCTTGTGCACAGCAATGATGGCTTGGAAACAATGTTACTAACCTATTAATGTAAATTCTGCTGCATCAATGGGATGTGTTTAATAGACCCCACATCTACCCTCAAATATAAAGTTAATATTTACATTAAGTGCCACATTACCTTGTAGGGTTTTCCCATGTCTAACATCTATGACTCCATTTCATTTAATGGTTTTGACATCTACAGTGGTTCTGATTTTCCCTTATTTCTCCCAAACAGCTGCCAGCATTTATTTTAGTCCCCACCATTTTTAGGAGAAATGCTAAACATCAACATCATAAAGCAAGTAATGTCGTGAAGCTACAATACTTCAATAAATATTATTTTACATTTTAGTCTAATGCCATTTTTCTTTAATTCATGGGACTTTATGCCAATAAACACAATGGGCTAGATCCTTAGATGGTATCTACTGGGTTCCCAGGGGTTGCTACATTGATTTACACCAGCTAAAGATATGGCCCATTAGATTTGGAGCCCATTCCCTGCATCTGCAGAATTGTTTATCTACGCCAGTTCCATCCTTTCCCATCAAAGAAGCAATAGATGTTTTTCTACATCAGACTAGATAGTTCCTAATGAAGTGGTTGCTAAAGGAGAGAATGGCCTTCTTGAATCACATACTAAAGTAAAACTACCAGTTAACTTAAATCATAAATTGGAAGGATCCTCAGTAGGAATTTCATTCTGGCCCTCAGCACTCAAGCCAGGACTACATAATAATCAGAATATTCTGGATCCTGACAGGTGCTGATGAAGAATTTTGCTTGAGTAAGAGCCATAAGATTTTACATGCAGTAATAAGTGATTCAAGAGCTAAATTATTCCTGAAATTTTTGTATTTTTCTTAATCTTTTATTCTTTCATCCTTTTGTATTCTCTAGCATACCTTCTTAATTAATTTCATTCATTTTTCATTAACGGATTAATTAAATCCTTTAAAATGTAATCACCTAACATGCATTAGAACTAATACAGCTCATTCATATTTTATTAATAGCAATATACAATTCATAAATAATACAATCCAATGAATATTAATCCTGTTAATATCACTGTAATCTGATATTCAGTCAAATGAATATGCCAGGCATTATAACTTTTTAATTGTAGTCATGTAATTAGTGCTGCATTAAGCACCATTGGAACAAATGCAGCTCACTGTGTTTTGTCATAAACATTGCGAAGTATTCATTATAACCAATAGCACCTTTTTAATTGCTAGCCTTTATTGCTGTGGTGACTATTTATTGGGTGTCTGAGTTCTTATCTGCTAGGCACTGGATTTTAACTTCACCCTTTACAACAATTCTTTTAATTAATATGCATCCTACTTAATGCAAATCTTTTGTCACTTTCTCCTATAGAGCTGAGGACCTCACGCTGAGGACCTCACACATTTTGCATTTATTTGCAAAGAAGCGCTGCTGATATTCTGGGGTTTCCTGCAAAGCAAGCGGGCACTTACCTGCCTAGAAGACTGCTGGGTCAGTCCCCTGAGCAGAGACTGATCCAAATCTCATGTGGGACACCATTCCAGCGCGTCCACTGACTTGACTGGGCTTTGGAGCAGGTTTAGGCTCTGGGGGGTTCTGCACCGTACCTGGACAGCTCCCTGGCTAGGCGGCTGCAATACCCCACTGTGCTGGACAGCTCCCAGGCTAGAGGTAGGACTGCAGTACGCATTACATAAGCAGATGCTGGACAGCTCCCTGGCTAGGCGGCGGTAAGAGTCGCCTCCCCTCCCCCCAGTGCTGGACAGCTCCCTGTAGGGGTGCTGGGCACGATCCCTGGGGGTGCCCGCCTGGGTACTGGCTGGGCGGTGGTAAAACTCCCGCCGTGAAGAACAGCTCCCTGGCTGGGCGGCGGTCAGACCCCCCTCCCCACCCAGTGCTGGACAGCTCCCTGGCTGGGCGTAGGTCAGACCCCCTCCCCGCCCAGTGCTGGACAGCTCCCTGGATGGGCGTCCGCCCAGTGCTGGACAGCTCCCTGGATGGGCGTCCGCCCAGTGCTGGACAGCTCCCTGGATGGGCGTCCGCCCAGTGCTGGACAGCTCCCTGGATGGGCGTCCGCCCAGTGCTGGACAGCTCCCTGGATGGGCGTCCGCCCAGTGCTGGACAGCTCCCTGGATGGGCGTCCGCCCAGTGCTGGACAGCTCCCTGGATGGGCGTCCGCCCAGTGCTGGACAGCTCCCTGGATGGGCGTCCGCCCAGTGCTGGACAGCTCCCTGGATGGGCGTCCGCCCAGTGCTGGACAGCTCCTGCAGCTGCCTCTCCAGCGCCTCGTTCATGCCGCGGGTGGCCTCGATCTCCAGCGTCTTGGCCTTGAGCAGGCGGCGGCTCTCGGAGATCTCGTCCTTGGCGGCGCGCACGGCGTCGGTGTTCTTGGCGGCGCTCTCGGTGAGCACGGTGAAGCGGCTGCGGAACCACTCCTCGGCGTTCTGCATGTTGCGCGCCGCCAGCTTCTCGTACTGCGCCCGGATGTCGCGCAGCGCGGCCGAGAGGTCGGGCTTGGCCGACACGTCCATCTCCACCGAGAGGTGCGCGTACTGGATCTGCGCCTGCAGCTCGGCCAGCTCCTCCTCGTGCACCTTCTTGAGGAAGGCCAGCTCGTCCAGCAGGCTGTCGATGCGCTTCTCCAGCTCGGCCCGCGCCAGCGCCGCCTCGTCGGCCCCCTTGCGCGCCTCCAGCAGCCGGCCCTCGGCATCCTCCCGGCTCAGGATCTCCTCCTCGTAGCGCGCCTGCAGCCCGCGCAGCGTCTCCTCCAGGCTCTCCCTCTCTCTCTGCAGCGCCTGCTTCTCGCTGCTGGCCTCCTCGGCCGCCAGGCGCAGGCCCCCCACTCGCCTCACCGCCACGGCGCG